TCTGCTTTTCCACAGATATCGCTACTTCTAAAAAAACTGAATTTGTAGTACTCACTGAAATGAAGTAAACAGGATTTGTAGTCTACATATTTAAATACTAGCATTTTATGTAAATTAAAATGTAAATTAATTCTAAGAAACTTACATTATCACAACTTTGTAAATGGATGCTTTAAATCATATAAAAAATCAAAATAAAAATGCTGACCTTGAATTTTCTGTCAGATAACACGGAGATTCAGTCTTTAGAAATAATTTTACTCAGATTATAAGTTTGTAGTCAAACCCTCACTAAAAATGACATATTTGTTTTAATGAAGAGAGAAAAATATAGTCCATTGAATTTTAACTACTTGGTTGAATTCAGCTATATTTGTCATAAAACTTTTATTTCATAAAATAGATTTTTGTTCTCTTTCCCAAGTAGAACATGTAACCTAACAAATATTTAAATACGGACAGTATGATGTGATAGGTACACTTCTTTATTCGTAAATGCTTCTGTCTAAATTTTAAACACAGGAAAAATATATATGCCTCAAATATGTGAAGTCTAATTCCATGGTTATCCTCAAATAAAAAAACAATAATTACAAAATTGTTTTGTCAACTCAATTGGTTAGTGCACAAAGCTCATGAAACCAGAAACAGAAGGTCATATTGGGCCAAGAGATTTATGCAGACTTTTAAAAAATAATTATATACAACTGTGTTCACAGCTATTTATCTCACAATTGTGCATTGTTAACCAAAAGACAGATTCCACAAGAGAAAAGAAAAGGAGACAAAATGCAAAGTCATTTTCAATATTGAAACACTGCTCCGACTCACATTTCTCTATTGGTGAGATATCAGCTTTATCTTCAGACTCAAACAACAGAAGTTTAAGGAACTCAATTCTATTCTACTCCTTTAGGTTTATGATATTTTACCTATAACTGGAGTCATTCAGAGCCAAATGCATATAGCTCTGCCTTTTGCTATAACACTGACAAGCTTGATTTTCTTTGAGAACATAAACAAAAAAGAGAAAGAGAAGGTTTTCCTAGCCATGAGAAAGTAGACATCAGAGTATAAGTTATCCAAGGATCCCATGCAGTGCTTATATACTTTTTTCTCTTTAAGACTTTTGACAAAATATTTTATATGGGGTTCAGATTTCACATGCTATTATGTCTTGATATTTCACAAAACAAAAACAAGAAATGCTCTTCAGGCCCAACTAGGCATGATTTATCATTATGTTTTCAAGATAAAATATTAATTCCTTGTTTCCCTGAACTGCTTTAAATAAAAACCATGATCAAGGTCTCACATGCATTTTATTAGTCATTTATACTTAACAAGGCATTTTACTCCCTAATGATTAATATTTATCATACTAAGGAGAAGACAGGAAGGCAATATAAAAGTTTGTATTTCCAAATCTTATTATATATAATTCTGATATTTTCTTAATTTTTCCTATATTTCTTATATGTCTAGTCTATACCAAACAATAATAATGATAACTAACATTTATTGAGTTATTTCTAGGTGCTAGGCACTTTCCAAGGTTTATATAATTTCTTCCCCACATCAGCCATTTGAGATACTATTATTATTCCCCTTATATTGGTGAGGACACTGAGGCTTTCAGAACTGAAATGTCAACCTATAGTTGTGCAATAATGAGGAAGGGAGCTAGTTTGGGCTCTTGAATTATGTATGCTCTCTGAGGACTTGGTAGTGATCAGTGTGTTAATGACAATGTAATTTATGCATAGTTAATCATTTGTTAAAAATAAGTTTCTCCATAAAATTGAATCATTTGGTTTGTCTTTCAGACAAAATAATGCTTAGCAGAAAGAAAAATACAAAATCCATTAAGTATTTCAGAATAAAAACAAATCCTGTTCAAAAATACAAACATGGCATACCCAATCTGCTCAACCAATTTATATTAGTTTCTTTTGCTTTTTTACATCTGTGTGGGTTTCACAACAGACAAAAGAAATAATTGCACAAAAATTACCTAAAGCCATGTATTCTCTTAATAAAACTGACTTCAGCACTTACTGCCAATGTCTTTAACATGACGATGATACTATAGTTGATACTTACCTTTCAATAAAAATATAAATCATTATTTATTCCCTGAAGCTAACCTCACTCGTGCTAAATTATTTATCTATCTATTTTAATATGTATTTTGCATCTGACAGGACAACTCTCCTTAGGACCCCTTTACTGACCTACCTGTCATTATGATGAGGTAAACAATGTCACCTTTCCAGTGCACAATGAATTACACAGAAGTTTCAAAGTACACAATCCATCATGCTGGCACTAAGTAGGTTTTTGAAGTAGATCTCAGATATCACAAATTATGTTTAGACTGTTACCAGAAAGCAAAAATTGGAAGCTTATACAAAATGGTCATATGATGAATGGGCATGACAGCTCTTCAAAAAAAAAAGGGGCACTCCTCTTCTACAAATAACCTTGTCAAAAGCAAAACTAGTGGGGAGCTTCACTGGCAGTCAGACTAGAATAATTTAAGAACTTGTTAATGGCTCTGCCTGATAGAAATGCATGCAAACACAATGTATTCAAAATCAAAAAGTAGTAAGGCTTGAATCATCAGCAGCAACCTCTCAAGCTTGATTTGAATTAGGGAATGGTCTGTAGAACTGCAGAAAAATCACCAGTGTCCTATTAATTATAATATCTGAGTTTCAATAATGTATCTATCTAATACATGTCTATAAAATATATGGAAGTATTCTATATGTGTATAGTCAAGTACAAATTGCTTTGCTTTTGAAAAATCATAACATTAATATAGTTTGAATTTTAAAAAAGCAGTATCAATAACTTATTACATCCTTTATTAAAGTGGATATTTAAATTATGTACTTAGTATAATAGATTTGAATTATTAATTGATTCTAAAAATAATTGAGTTGAGTGTCTTCATCTCATTTTCATGGTCTTAATTTCTTAAATTATGTTCTTCAAATATTAGGTCTTTGTTTTATCCATAACTGTATTTTAGTTCCTTTAGTACTAGTCCCTTTTGTTTATGCCTAATATTTCAAACATGCAGTATAGTTCTGTAATTGTAGCTAACTTTATTTCTCCCTTTTAATAGCTACTTTCAGTCTTTTAAAATATTTCTTTGTTAAGATTCTACTTCTTAAGCATTTATAAATGACAGGAAGATCCCAAAATAACTTAAGATTTCATGGACATTTAATTCTATGATTCTGTAGAATTTAGTTTTCTTTTATATGGAACAATGAAAATTTAAACCTTTATAACTGATAAGATAAATGTATAGAAAACTCTCAGAGATATGATTACACAGGAACATAAAAAAACAATCTAGTGGGCCCAGCAGATTATTAAAGAGGGCTCTGCTGTGAAAAGGGACACAAGCTATAGTTTCATGGATTTATTATGTCACCTAGGTTAAGGAATAACGAATGTTTGCTGGAGGGAACTAAAATACAAATAGATGGGGGTACTTCCAAGGACCCATGCACATTCCTGGGTTTTTTATTGTTCTGTGTTTAGGACATGGTTTTTTTTAAAGAAGGAGATGACTGTGCTGGACTTGAGTCAACTGAGATAAAGAGGAAGCTGGAAATGTGTGTGGTTTATTCAGGGTTAGGAGTCAGAGAAAACATGTGGGATGATTTTAGAAACTTGCCTTGAGACTAAAACTTCTGAACCAAAGAGAGCTGGTAGCCTCCTTCTATTTTTAATAATACATAGGTAATACTGCCTACCAGAATTAGTGTATATTAAGTCAAATTATATAGTGAGTCCCACACTAGAAAGGATGCAGACATTTAAAGTTATATTGATTTTTAATTAAAGATAAGGCTTTTTGAGGTGGTGCCGGTTCTACGTAGACCTCCTGCTAGAAGTCAGAGAACAGTACAACAGAGCACAAACTGCTGAACCACCTTCCCCACAAACAACTGACGCCCCCTCACCAAACAGACAACATTAGGAACAAGCATGCATTTCTTCAAAATAGCTTGAATGATTTATTTATATCATATATTAATCAGTTAGTGGGATTCTTAAATCTGTGCTAATAAGTAATTAGAAACATAACTATTTCATCTGGATTAAAGGAGCAATCTACAGTTTTATAAGAAATTAAACTTTGTTTAGTAAAATAATTTTTTACCTGGAGAGAGAAGACCTCCCTGTATAAAGGCAACTAGTGACCAATTATACATTGTATCTAACTGGTAAATCATCCTATGAACTAGGCACTGTCCTCTCAGTTTTATATATATTAGCTAATTTGATTCTCAAAACAACCTTATAAAGTAGCAACTATTTTAATCCTCATTGCAGAGATGAGGAAATTCAGACCTAGATGGATAATTGAGGGGCTGAGATTTGAAACTAGTCCACATGGTTCTAGTAGCTATGCACTTAACCATAATGCCACACCCAACCCCGCCCCCCCAAAAAATACAAAAACAGCTAACCCAGAATAAAACAGATCAATAATCCACGCTTGACACCCAATTTATGTGTTTTCCATTAAGACAGCAGAAACATTGTATTTCAAATCGTAACAGTGTGAATAATCACATCAATTTTCCACTCCATTTCTTGTGTGCTATATACAATCTCAAAATGCAACTGCTTCCATTTCTGTCTTTCTGTCCATATCAATATATTAAAATTTGCCTCTTCAAAAGCAAACAATGAAATGAATTTGTACTATACGGACTAAGCAAAATGTGAATGACTCAGTCACACATTCAACACTTTTGAATTAAATTCTTTTAATGCTTTTTCACTTCCAAAATATGACAAGAAAGGGGTCAGGCAATCCAAATCTTCCTTCCCCTTTCCAGGTATCTCCACACTGAGAACATTTAATGGTTACTTTTGTATGTTGCATCTTGCCAGTCAGTTCAATTTAGATGAAAGCTGTTGTGTTCTAATTCCATTTCACTGTAAATGACAGAGACAAATGGTCATATTACCTTGAGAGTTCCTTTGGCAGAATAGGCTGCATATGAGTAGAGCAGATCCTGGCCGCTCTGTTTTCTGGCTTCTTCACTGCAAGGCTCGCCATTAGGATGAAAGCATTGGCCAGTGCTGCTCAGAGTCACAGAGCTGGCAGAAGGGCCTGGCAGATTAAGCAGCACAGAATAATTTACAAACTGTACATCTTCTAGGCCCAAAGAAGTCCAGTGAGTTTTAATCTTCTCTGAAATCTCTGTGTCATCTTCACTTTTATATAGTTGTACCAAATTTCTGAAAGAAATTTAAAAAGCACACTCTAAAAAAACAGAGGGAATAATCTTTATTCTTTTGAATTATAGCTATTCAAAATATGAACAATAAATGTAAGATATGAAAGATGAATTAGACAGGATACTACAAGAAGCTCAGTTTGGTAGAGTTGATGAGCTTGCACAGAAATTATACCAAATCAAAGCAAAATGAATTAAGTTCTTAAGAATTAATAAAGTACTATGGGACTGCAGAAAAGAGTGATTAATGCCAACTAGTTTCTATTAGTTTTGATCCTCCTATTGACATCAACGTAACTCACTTAAAATTCAGTTCCAAAACTAGGAGTCGTGCTGTTTGAGACAGTTCTGTGTTATAATTAGCATGATTCTATATAAAGCTATGGGATTACTATATAGCTATTGTTATTTAAAATGATAGAGAAAACTTTTGATACAAATTACATGCCAAATTACATAATGCTACTGACATAATGATATACAATATCAGTAAGTCATGATAAAACCAACAGATGTCAAACCAATATGAAATTAGTTTCTGTGTTCTTGTTATAGTCTATGTATTTATTCCTACACCTGTTCTATAATTCACAATGATGCTATGTATTTTCACATCCTAGAAATCAGACAAAAATCTGTTAAAAAAATATGGGTAGAATGTAGAACAGAATCAAACATGGGAAATTAAGAAATAAATCAAAGTTTTATTTTGTACTGAAATGTAAAGGGCCTAAATTCCTTTTTGGGCAAAATATATCTTCTTACAAGAATCTTATTATTATACAAAATATTATGTGAATATTTTGATATTATTAGTTTTGCCCATCACATTATTTTTCTCAGAAAGACTTCTTTTAGGACCCTGTTTACTCAATAATTCCAACTCTTGGTTTCATTGATTTTTTCCTATTGCTTTTCTAGTCTATATTATTTATTCCTGCTTTAATCTTTGTTATTACCTTCCTTCTGCTAAATCTGAGCTTAGTTTACTCTTCTTTTTCTAGTTCCTTGAAATATAAAGCTATGTTGCTTATTTGAGATATTTCTTTTTTCTTAATTCTATATACTTCCTCAAGAACTGTTTTTGCTACATCTCATAAGTTTTGGTATCATGTGTGTATTCTTTTTTTGTCTCCACCTTTATTGGGTACAATTAACAAATAACATTATATAAATTTAGATGTAAAGCATGTTTATTTGGTAGACACTTATTATTGCAGAATAATCACCATCATAGCATTAGCTGATACTTCCACATATCACATACCATCACACCTTTTCTTTGTGGTGAGGATATTTAATATCTACTCTCTTAGCAACTTCCATCGTGGTGATTATAGTGGCTATGTATTTATTTTTTTATTTGCTTTTTTCACTTATCATTAGATTTCTGAGATTCCTCCAGGTTTCCTTATTAATTTCCTGGGATAAATATTTTTAAACATTTATAGTTTTTATCATAACAATGCTTCATTAAACATTCTTATTCATTTTTTTCTGATAAACATAATCAAAAGTTTATCTAGGCAAGGAATCACTGGTCCATTAAGGTATGTGCCTGTATAACTTTAGTAAGAAAGCCACGTTTTTAACACTGTTTTGATTACATTCATGCCTGCCCTGCATGAATCCCTCCATTCCTTACCAACACATGGTGGTATCCTTTATTTCATTTATCTTTGGCAATGTGGTATGTATGAAATCATATATCATTATTTGTTTAAAAAATAGCATTATTGGGTTGCAGGGTATGCTAAATGGTTTTACAAAGCTTTTTGTACTACCAGCATAACTTAATGGCCTTATTTACAGTGTATCTAATTTTTGTTAACCAATGAACATAAAAATTGTGACTTTAGTTTGCATTTCCTTCATTAGTAATGAGGATATTTTCATGTATTATTTAACAGTCTATGTAGCCTTCTCTGTGCAGCAACTGTCTATGTATTTTGCCCATATTTATGGAAGCTTTTGTATATCCTGGATAATCCTTTTCTAGGTCATATGTCCCCCCAATTTTTTGGCTTCTTTTTCATTTTCAATATTTGATCTTACGATGGATAGTTCATAATTTTAATATGCATAATTTTAATGTAATGGTTTACATATTTTTGATGTGCTTAGGATTCCTTTTCAACCCAAGATAATGAAGTTACTTGTTTCTTCTCTAAAAGTTTTAAGAAATTGTTTTTCACATTTCAATGTTTCCAGGTAATTGCTTGTGCACTTTTATGAGGCATGAACACAAAATCAGTTTTTTCCACCTGAGTAACGATAGTAGTAAGTACTCTTTGTCCATTCTCCACTAATGCGCAATGACAATTCTGTCATTTGTGAATTTCTATATGTTTGTGGGTCTGTTTGGGCTCCCTAAACAATTCCATTAGTCTTTTTACTCCATCTTCTTAATAATATACTATTTTAATTGTTTTTCTTTTATAATGTCTTAATGCTCAGAACAGCAAGTCCTCCTATTTGTTCTTCCTCAAGAAAGTCATCATTATTTTTTTCTTTTCCTCTCCCATATTAATATTGGAATGAACTCATCAATTTCTTTGTCAAGATTGCACTTGGAGTTACATTAAGACTTAAGATTAATTGGAGGAGAAATGTCATCCTTATAACAAGAAAATAAGTCCTGAATATATCAAATTTCCAGTCGATGTTAACATAAAATGTTTTAAGATTAAAATTTTTTTCTACATATTGCTAGTGTAGAGGAATACTATTTGTTTTATTACATAGTCTTACTAAACTTTCTAATTTTATCTTTCTTCTTTTCTTGAGTTTTCTACACAAAACAATTATGATAAGCAAATAATGTAGTTTTTATTACTTCCTTTCTAGCGACTTACATATATTACTTTTTTTTATTACTATGCAGTTTAAAACCTCCAGAAATGTTTAAGGAAATATTTCATAAGATATGATAATGGACCTCCATGTGGTTTTCTAAATATCAAAATAAGATTTTCCTCCCATTTTTATTTTAATGAGATGTTTTATGAACCACTATAGAATGTTATAAATTATGATAACATTTACAAAGACATATTAACCTTTTCTTTAATATGGTGGATTATATTAACCAACTTTTTAAAATCATTTAAACAAACTTGCATTCCTAAGTCTAACTCTAATTATCAGAATACACTAAAAATTTTTAGATATTATGTGATTTAGTTTGCCAATCTTTTGTTTACAATTTTCATGTCTGCTTTTATCAGTAAAGTTGATATTCACCTTTCAGGCATCATTTCTGCTCAGTTTTAGTTTGAAGTAATACAACCCTCATAAAATGAAACAGAGAATGTCCCCTCTTGATTTGTTCTCTGGGATAGCTTGAATATATTAAAATTTTTGAAAGAAATTATTCTTAAACTAAAAATTGTCTGTACTTGATGTTCTTTTTATGGGATGATTACAAACTGCTGACTCAATAACTTTAATGCTGTAAGAATTTTATTATTTCTTTTTGAATCATAGTCTTTCATTACTCCTTGTGTCACCTGCTATTAATCCTCAAAGTTCTAAGTTTCTGGTTTCATCACTTGCCACAGTATTCATTCCTAAGTTTTGGTTCCCTTGGGATTTTTATTACCATCTTGTTAGTTTTAGGATAGTAGTGTTTTAGAGGAGGTTTATTGTAATGGAAAAAAGCATTTATATGTTTTTCAGAGTATCTATTTAGAAATACCAACAAAACCAGAAATGCATTAACTTGAGTACCTAATTCCTATATAAGAGATGATTTCTTTGTAAGTCCTACACCTTGGTTATTCCTACAAATCCAAGAGAGAACACTCTGGAAAAGCAGCTAAGAACTTTGTTCCAAGTTCCTGCTTTATCCACAGACTTATAATACAGATATTTGTTCAAAACTGATTGACAATGATACCATTTTATACATGATCTCTACCTGACAGAGATTACTCAAATCTTCTATAGTATAGTAGTTGACTAGATTTAAGGAAATTTGAGGTCCCTTTTATAGAAATCTAAAGAGTACCAATGTAACAACATAAAAAAATGCAGCCTAAAAGATGTTAACAAGTTATTTATAAACATGTGTTATTGTTGTTGTTGTTGTTTTAAACACTGGTCTTTAAAAAATAGAGGAAACACTGTTTCTTAATAAATATTCCCTAATATTCCAAATAGCAAATAATAAGCTAATAAATATCTGTTCAAGTCCAATCTTCCTAAGATAACTTTTTAATTGAGTTTCATGTAAAACTATAGTTTAAACTTAAATTGCTTATAGTAATATTATCCCCCAAAAAAATATTTGAAGAGGATGCATGAGTTCTATGTTTTAAAATTACATAATCCTCAAATCTAAATTGTTTTAAATAAATCAGTGGTCATTAAGACAAAGTCTTATTGATACAAATGGTTTAGCCAAAAGATTCTATTCACTAATCATTTCAAATCATTCAGACTATTAAAATGCCTAGGTTTTATTGACAATGTCTACAATTTTCTTAACATTTTCCCCCACAATAAGTATTTTGGAATTTATGGTGAACAGTTCTAATTAAGAAGTTTGCTATATTCAGAGAAATGTTATTAAAAATGAGCTACACTAGGAGGCGGAGCCAACATGGCAGCATGAGTAGGACAGTGAGAATCTCCTCCCAAAAACATATATATTTTTGAAAATACAACAAATACAACTAATCCTAAAAGAGAGACCAGAAGACACAGGACAACAGCCAGACTACATCCACTCGTGCGAGAGCCCAGCGCTTGGTGAAAGGGGTAAGATACAAGCCCCGGCCTGGCGGGACCCGAGCA